TGTTGTTGTCTGTTGCTGTGTCTGTTGTTGCCTGTTGCTATGTCTGTTGTGGTGTCTGTTGTTGCCTGTTGCTGTGTCTGTTGTTGCCTGTTGTGGTGTCTGTTGTTGCCTATTGCTTTGTTTCTCCCCGTCCTCAGTGTTGTCCTGAGGTTGTCGGTTAGAAGCTGGGCCCTGGACGGGTTGATCCTCCTGCTCTCGGACTCCAAACAGATGGACTTTGTCGTCCTCAGACTGAAAGGGGGGAAGGTTATGATGTCAGCTGACCTGGGGAAAGGCCCCGCCTCCATCACCTCATCTGTTGACGTGAATGACGGAAAGTGGCACATTGTGAGTTAATTACACATCTGGTACTACAGACAGATATGTGGTACTACGGACAGACATGTGGTACTACAGACATCTGGTCCTACAGACAGACATCTCCATCCTGGGTAACGTTTGCAGTTTTCAGTGTTGAGCTCTGGCGTGTTGCTTTGAACATTGTGGCGTCTGTTTCTCAGGTGAGTGCGGAGGTAAGCCGGCGGTTGGTGTCGGTGTCTGTCGATGGTTCAAGTCCGGACTCCGTCTCAGTCAAAGGAAACCAGCTGGACGTAGACAACAGACTGTATTTGGGAGGATTTCCGAACACCAGCAGGAGGATCAATGTAAGACTGCTCATCAGTTCACCACAGGTGCTCAGTGCTATCGACCTCATCCTGTTGCAAACCTTGTTCTGGAAACAGCGACCAAGAACTTCACCTTCATCGCTTCCCTAAGCAGCAGCCAGCCTTCCAGGCAACAAAACAAACCCAGGATTTAGGGCTACATGGGTGTAATGTTCCACAATAAAAGTTAAATACTCACCTGTAACCGTAGTGTTCTCACATACCTCATCAGTGTCCACCTTTGTGTCCACCTGTGTCTCTCAGGTCAGCAGCAGTTTCCCGGGTTGTGTTCGGTCTGTCAGTCTAAACGGAAACATATTGGATCTGTCCAAGCCGGCCTCTCAGTCTGATGTCGCTGCCTGTTTCACCAAAGACCAGACAGGGAGCTACTTCAACGGCAGTGGATACGCTGAACTGAGTGAGTCCACATGAACACAGAATCATAGTCCTCAACCCTCCAACACCACCTGTGAGCTTTGGTCAGCACTAGTTCAGCTCAGCTCCTCCTCAGACTCTCTCTACAGCCAGAAATTATACAAATCTTTGTTCTTCTGATGCTTTTATCTGTAAAGTTGGCAGAGGCCTGAACTGTAAGACCTCCAGTGTTTTAGTATCGCAGAGGGCAGCGTTGTAGTTCACAGTGTGACCTGATGGTGGCAGTCACGTGTCTCTGTTCCACAGGATAAACCCAGACACACGCAGGAAGTTAGATCCACTCTAGAGGGTCTTCCATGAACAATCAAACCATGTAGAGAAACTCTAGAACCACCCAAGTAAATGCAATGGCACTTAAACTGTCAAAATTAACTCCAGAACATCTTCAATGAACCCTGGAAGGTAATAAATGAACTCTAGAACCTCCTTCATGAGCACCAGAACCACTTCAATGATTTGTAGAAACACAGAAACCTTTGAAATAAACCGGAGAACCAATAAAAGCTCCAAAATGAACTCTGGAGCCACACAACAAAGTCAAGGACCTCCTAAACCTCCTACATGACGTCTAGAACCAGCTAAACCACCTGACTGAACTCTAGAACCTTCTGAGGGAACTCTAAATGTGTGTGTGCAGTGCACGACGGCTACAAGGTCGGCTCTGACATGTCCGTGTCGCTGGAGTTTCGAACGAGCCAATCAGAAGGAGTGTTTCTGGGAATCAGCAGTGCGAAGGTCGACGCTGTGGGACTGGAGATGATCGATGGACAGGTGAGCCGACTTACCTGAGGGTTCAGTCAGCCGTTTACATACATGCACGTTAACAATAAACAGCAAAGGGCCTGGTGCTGAACCTCAGAGAGCTACACAGCTGAAGCAGCTGCTACCTGCTCGCCAGGTGTGTCTTTCAGTTTCACTTACATACATCCAACTGTTTTCTATGAAAGCTCTACCTGTATGAACAAAGGTTTACCTGTGTGAAGGTTTACCTGGATGAAGGTTTACCTGGATGAACAAAGGTTTACCTGTATGAAGGTTTACCTGGATGAANATGAAGGTTTACCTGGATGAACAAAGGTTTACCTGTATGAAGGTTTACCTGGATGAAGGTTGACCTGTATGAACAATGGTTTACTTATATGTTTCTCCTCAGGTGGTGTTTAACGTCAACAACGGCGCTGGTCGGGTGTCGGTGCGGTCGATTGGCCAGATGCTGTGTGATGGACGGTGGCACCGCCTGCTGGCCAGAAAAAACAAACACAGCCTGAATCTGAGTGTAGATGGGCGGAGTTACAGCACACCCAACCCCTACCCACAATCCACCTCTGCTGAGACCAACAACCCCGTGTACCTGGGAGGATTTCCAGGTGAGACCCTGACGTCTGTCACACATTCACACATCTGGTGGACGTCTGTCTGTCCATACCTGTCTTCCTCCACCTGATCCTTTCCACCTGTCTGTTTCTCTGCTGTAGTTGCTGTGAAGCAGAACTGCCTGTCGATCAGTTCCAGCTTCAGAGGTTGTCTGAGGAACCTGCAGCTCGCCAAGTCTCACCTGAGCACCACCCTTGACGTGAGCTCCGCCCACTTCCGGTTGGGCGTCACCCCTAACTCGTGCCCGGTTGCCTAGCGATGCCTCTTGTTTGTTTCGGAGGTTCTGGTTGTTTGTTGGAGCTCCCTGTTGAGCAGCGTTCAGCTTTTTGTCAGATTGTAGATTCTGGATGTTGTCTGATCCATAAATAAAGACCTACCTGCAACGCTGCCTTCACCTGTGCACCTTGTATGTCAGATGGCCATGCTAACACTTCCACAGAGAACCATCAGGGGGCACTGGCCTCTTGGAGCTGTGACCAGACTCACTCAAACCAACAAAACGTGATGAAAACTGAGCAAAAAATGCTGCCAAACATCCAAAACACCACAAAAACAACCAAAATGGGAACAAACTTGTCCAAATGTGACATAAAACCTGTTGCAAAATGACGTTGTGACATACAGCAACTAAAATTTGACGCAAAATGACAAAATCATGGTACAAAACGACCACAAACACATGAAACAACAAAAATGTGACATACAACGACCAGAATCTGACACAAAGAGGACGAGAAAAGAAGCAGAACAACCAAATTGTGATGCAGTGTGACAAAAATGTTTCACAAAACGACCAAAATATGATGAAAAATGATCAAAATATGACGAAAAACAGCTGAAATCTGACACATAGCCATCAGAGAAAGATGTAGAAACTATCAGCAGCCAAACTGTGACACAAAACAACTGCAAAAAGACACAGAACTACCAAACGTAGACATGAAATGACCAAAACTACCAAACTGTGAAACACAACAGCCACAACGAGACACAAAACAACTGCAAAGATTTAAAAAAGATCATCAAAATGACACAAAACATCCAGGAGACGACGTAGAAGAACCAAACGGTGATTCAAAGCAACTAAAACTCGATAAAAACACATCAAACAGCTGAAACGTGATCAAGATGATCCACATGGAGCACAAAGCAACTGAAGTGTGACACAAAGCAGCCAACAAGCATGGCTCTGTGTTGGCTGTGGAGCTGTAAAGCCGGATCAGACGGCAGGTGAAGGGAACATGTGGACTCTTGTTCAGTTTGCAGACTGAGCAGCTCCTCGTTGCTCTCAGCCGTCAGTGGGTCGCTGTGACTCTGAGCAAAGCTGGAGGTCCTGATGGTTCTCAGGCAGGTAGAAGGAGCCTCTCCTCCTCTGGTTTCCACACCGCTCCCACCACACCATGAAACAGAGCTGCAGGACACCACGTCCAGCTCAGTGGTGGACAGAAGCTCTCCTGGTTCACTGCTTTGATGCTGCATCAGCTCAGTAACGAGTCATCTGAACCCACATGTGATTTAAAACTGAACTCAGATGAAAGTTCAACATCTTCTTCAGCTTCAGTTCAGGACTCCACGGATCCTCCTCGACCTGCTGAGCACAGCTCGGTCCAGCGTCCACGGTGACGTCATTCAGGAGGCAACGCTTCAGACCTTCTCTACATAACGTGGAACCACTCAGAACAGCTTCATGTAGATCTTTACCTTCATGCTTCTAACCAATGAATAACTACAGATGTGTGTGACTGTGGAGGGAAAGCTGGTTCTCCAAACTCAGAGCAGCTCAACTTTGTTTATTAGAAGATTTCAGGACTCAGACTGAAGCAAACTGCTGCTTCCTGTAGTTGGACATTACGCTTTAGAGTCTCAGTGGCTCCATGAGATTCACAGGAAGTTTAATTTCCCTGTGAAGCTGAAAAACGAGCAGCAGAAGCTGAGAGCTGCATGTTGGAATCTCAGCTCAGAGCTGAAGCAGCAGCGCCACCTGCTGTACAAACAGCAAACCAGCAGCTGGAGTCAGATGCGCTCTGCGTCCGTCTGAGTCACGTCCTTCATGTTCACGGCTGTGAGGCTTCCTGTTGCTGTGACAGTCTGACAGCAGCCACACACTCATGTTCCTGCATCTACACTCACTGAAGGGCCGACAACACACACCGTCAGCACAGAAACAGTCCACACAGCCCAGGACGTTTGGTTCACTTCACCTCATGTCAGGAACAATCAGTGACCGGAGCAGAAAGTCCAACAGAACCGCAGCGACTCAGTCAGCGTCCGGACCATCATTCAGGCTCCACTCAGGTTTATTTCTGTCAAACTGCTGCTTCCTGTAACTCTGTGGTGAACCTGCAGACTGAACTCGGCTCCAGTTAAACCATCACCTCACCTTCATGTTTTCTTCTGCAGCTTTCATCAACTTCCTGGAATAAAAACTCAGACTCACTTTGTTCACTCTGTGGGAGCAAAGAAACCAACTTTATTAGCATATTACAGCTGATTGTGGAGACTTGTCCAGGCAGTAGATCCTGCTGAAGGACTTCAGTCTCTGGTCAACAGGTTCTCTTCGTCCCAGTGGTTCTGCTGAAGCAGTGAATCAATCTGTGGAGAATCAGTGAAGCTCTGCCTGCTGATGACCTTCATGATTAGATCTCTGTGTATCTGACAACATGGACAGTGTGAAGAAAACCAGAGACACATATTAACAGTGATGGAGCTGTGATGAAGGAGCAGACCTTCCTGCTGCTCCATTCAGACTCACTGGGTCAGAACCAGACGGTGGAAACAGCAGCACTTTTGTCTGACTGGATCCTCACAGTCTGAGGAGTCTTTTCATGTCAAACACTGACATTATTTCACTTTGCTGTTGTTCACTGTGAGAAACAGATCCACTGACTTCACAGCACATCTACAGATAATGAACATGTTGGACTCAGGTCACACAGGGAAGCTTTGGTTGGATCCACTTTGTTCTGGTGGATCTTCTGTGACAACAAGTTCTTCATGTGTTCAGTGACGACAGCAGGCTGCTGCTGGAGCCTCAGACGTTCATGCTGGATGCTGATGGTGTCAGACATCCGTCAGCTCAGTGCTGTGGACACATTCACAGGTATGGACCAGAG